GCCAACGATCAATTTATCCGCTTCGGTAGATATTTTAATAACTTCCGGTTGTAAATAATTGTCATCGTCATCATGTTTAGATACGTAAAACGAAGTGAAACCCAATGGAGGAATAATTCCTTTGAAAACAAGTTCTAAAACTGAATCAGATGATCTTCCAGGTAATTTACGAACGGGTACAGGTACTTCAACAACCTGTAATGCCAAGTGAAAAGTGTTGAAGGTAACGAAATGAAAAAAAAAAAAAAATTTTTTAAACGTAACTTACTTGACTTTTTACTTTTTGTCCCAGGTGGTTTTTAACCGTGTATTTCAAACCGGAAACAGGAACTCTAACGAAATAATCCGCGTATTTACTCTGTGGATTATAAACGGTTATCAAAAAATTTTTAGATTTTGTCGAAACGTCACATTCGCTTATGTTTGTTAACGGACACGAAGTAAATGATAATTCTTCGTTCGCCATTTCCTTTTTCATGAGCTTACTAAGTGAGTAATAAATAATTATTTATAATAATTAATTAAATTTATAATTTTAACACCGAAAATGTTCTCACTTTAAAGCCGTGTTAATAACATCGTTACAATTTTCAATCGCGTTGTTAAGAATTCTAGCATAATCATTGGCGACGTGTTGTTTTTCCGTGCCGGTTATGGCATCGTGATGTTGCATGACGCCCATGGCTTCTCTCAACGTATTTATTTTATTTTCAAATTTTGTATCTAACAAAGCCAAAGATCCCAATTGCTTACATACCTGATAAAACAAAAAAAAAATTTAACGTTGAATTACGACATGACGCCATGATTGATTTATTTAAAAATCTATCTACCTGTAATAAATTATTTCCTTTTCTTTCGTAATATTTTAATGTCGGCCTACTTGTAAAATATCCCGTCCAAAAAGCATGAGGATCCGATGAATATGGGAAAAAATCATCCTTTTTCGTCGGCCATGTTATTTTAGCTTCGTTTAAACTTTTCAAATAACAAGATGGCGTGGAATAAAATATATTTACAACTTTATTTAATTCTTCGTGTTTGTTTATGTATCTAAAAATTTAATGTACATAAGATATTATTTTTTTTTTTGTTTGAGTCGAGGATTTTATTGTAATAAGTAAGCTGAAGATGGATTATTCAAAACAATAAATAAAGAACAAGAGCAAAGTTAGAGGAAACATTGATTTAAAATCATGCAAGCACAAGTTCTTTCCCCCCAAAAGCAAAATTAATTAAACATAACATAACACAAGGCAGCCATTAAAAGCAATCACATTTAATAACATAAAAAAAAAATTATATTTTATATAATCATTGTGCAAAATAAAAAAAATTTTCTTATCGATTAATGTGTGATTAACAATGAAAAGCTTTTTTATTGTTTTGTTTTTGTTTTTGTTTTTGTTGTTTCTACCTGATAAGTTTATCTAAATTTTTGAAGTAATATTGAGCATCCTGATAATTAAAATCTCCACCCATAGTGACCAAAACATTTTTAGTTTTAACTTGAAAACTATTAGATATTAAATGTGAAACAAATATTCTTGATCTTCTTTCTGCATTGAATTCGGGTGAATTTTCATCATCGACAATGGGTTCATCACCGCATAATATGTCAAAACAATACCCGATTGGTGCCTGGTATAAATTTGAAAGAACTCCCGTAAATAAATCCCATTTAGTCCCTGACAAAAACGATCGGTCATTAAAAAAATTTTTTTTTTTTTTTAATTTTATTTTTCAACCTATCAGTTTAATAATCATTATTAATTCTAGGTAATGAAACAAACAAACAAAAAAACAAACACATACACACGTTCTAATAATAATTATAAATTTTTTTTTTTTTTTAGATAAAAACAACAAAATCTATGGATGATGGCTCCTTTCCTCAACTCAAATTGATCATCTCCACAAAATATTATTGATCCTCACATCATTTTGTCAAAGAAGAATCACACAAAAAAAATCTAAAAAATAATTTTGGTAAGTTAACAATTAATTTAAAACCACAAAAAAAATTTGGCATCTCGTAAAAACAAATGCAACGTCGCATTATTTAAAATTATTAATGATAATATAATTTAAAATGCAAGTGACTTTGTTTTTTTTTTTCGCTTTGAATGAAGAAAATAATAAAAAAGACACAAATAATAATAATAATAATGATAGTAGTAGTACACACTTAATATAACAACTAATAGAAAATTAACAGTTAATGTAAGAAATTTAAACAATCATTTGTTGAATTTATCAAAATGAAAATGGGGAAAAACATGGAAATGATCCATCTTCAACCTTTTTCGATATAATAAATATAACTTCTACCTTATTAATATATCTAAATTTTTAAAATATTTATGAGCATCTTGATAATTGAAATCGTCTCCCATTGTAAGAATGATATTATTGCTTCTATAATTTTGGCTTTGAATGTAAACATATTTAAAAAATTTTTTCAATTTTGATACGATGTTATAATCTAGAGAACGTTTATTCGTAACAAAAGGTTCGTCTTGGCAAAGGAGGTCAAAGCAAAACCCAGGTGGAGCAGAATATCGATTGTAAAGTGCACCCGTAAATATATCTCCATTGATTCCTCCTATTGATTTAAAAAACTTTATTTTATCATTTAATTAAATAAATTTTAAATATATTATTGTATACGAATATTACCTAGTCGGCAACAACACATACCGTAAACAATAAAAATTAACGACTCGAATCATTTCGATTTCAGATTTAACAAATTAATATGAAATAAAGTTAAAATCAAATAACTTTACGACAATGGACGACAACTCAAATAACAATAATAATAATAAAAAAAAAATAGAATTACATAATTTTTTAAAACCATTAATTAATTTTATTATATCTCATTCGCTTTCAAGTTTTCAAAAAACAATAACAAACGTTTCATGTAATTTTAGCGGGGAAATATCAAGTACTGCCAACTTAAATTTAATTAAATTAATTAAAAAGTCGTGGATGAAGACAAAAATGAAAACAATAAATAATTGAACGAACCCGTTTTTTTAACGAATTTTTCATATTTATTTATTCTAACGAAACTAATTTTTTTT